TTAGTTTTAGATGGAGTAGGGAATGGTTAAAGAGTAAGGGCTAATCCTCTCTTATACAGTTGACTCCACAACAGGTGTCCTCATTGGAAGATTTCCCTGCTATACTGTTGTGTTGCCAACTATAAAATGTTGGATTGTCTCAAGACAAAGGTTCAAATTTAACCAGATACTGTAACGGAGGTGAAGGCCTGTCTTCCACATATAATCTGTCTTCCACATATCTGTCTTCCACACCATCTGTCTTCCACATATAATGCTTTTAACGGTATTGAGCTACATGCCATCAAGGAGGCATCTGCCTCTACAAGGTGGCTTGCCCGCAAAACTGTACAATTAGTAGCAGGAGCCCTTGCATGAGCCTCTACATGAGGGAGCTTCATACAGTATTTGCCCCATAAGAGTACAGTATTCAGGTGTGCACGTACAAGGTTTTTCGGACCTGTCCCCTTTGAGGTTCAATGACTTCCTCCATAGTTCTGATATCCTTGACCTTGCCTAGCCAGACACTAATTGAAGGAAGGGTCACCTGTTTCCAGTAAAGAGAGATGCAGGCCTTAGCTGCATTATTATTATTATTATACAGGATTTATATAGCGCCAACAGTTTGCTCAGCGCTTTACAATATAACGGGAGAAAATACAGCAACAATACAGTTCAATACAAGAGGGAAAGGAGGGCCCTGATCCTGGGAGCTTACAATCTAAGAGGGAGGGGCTAGTGGTACAAAAGGTAATAACTGTGGGGGATGGACTGGTTGGAAGAGTAGAAGATTCCATTATTAGCTGAGGGCAGGATAGGCTTCCCTGAAAAGAGAAGTTTAAAAGGGAGCAGAGTAGGCGATAGTCTGATAAATTGGGGTAGAGAGTTCCAGAGGATGGGGGAAGCTCTGGAGAAGTCCTGGAGATGAGCATGGGAGGAGGAGACAAGGGAGCTAGAGAGCAGGAGGTCGTGCGAGGAGCAGAGAGTACGGTTTGGGTGATATTTAGAGACAAGATTGGTGATGTAATTTGGGGCAGAGTTATACATGGCTTTATACGTTATTGTTAATGTTTTGAATTTTATCCATTGGGCAATGGGAAGCCACTGGAGGGATTGGCAGAGAGGGGTGGAGGACACTGAGTGGAAGGATTGGCAGAGAGGGATGGCAGATACAGAACGGTTAGTAAGGTGGATAAGTCTGGCAGCAGCATTCATGATAGACTGAAGAGGGGATAGCCTGCGATGACGTAGGCCAATGAGGAGGGATCAGGAGTGCATTTAATAGATGGATCAGGAGTGATTGTATCATTTTATAGATAAGGGTGTTGGATAGAGGAAGGTGGCTGTTGGGTCATCTCATAGGTAGATGTCGGTGAGTTTAAAGGAGATCTCCTGCACTTGTCCTCAAAAGCTGCATAGTGCCGGACAAGCCCAGAAGTTATAATGCCATTTTATCCACTCTAAGTCAGTGATTGGTAAAAATTCACACCTTTAGCCTTGTAAATTGAAGGGTTAACACCTATGCAGACTTCCTGAGACCAACAATGGGATGATGTAACTAGAACAAGGGTGGTTCTGCAATTTTCACATCTCCCGTCCTGTTCTTCAACAAGCAATATCTGCACATTCCATGGTGATTGGATTAAAGTGTTTGAAGGTGTGGATATAAATGCAGGGGTATCTTCCTTACACTCATATGAACCAAAGAAGTGGCTTGGAGAAGCTACAGAACATCTTTAGCATTGTAGAACAGGTTGAACGTGACCAACTACTAGTAGATACTAGACTCCGACTGCACTTGGGTACTTCCGTTAGACTCCCGCTTCCCCATCCGAACACCGACCACAGACATCACTCTTGAAGTAACACCAGAAAAAAGACTACTTTATTTTAACACAGATACAAGATATATACATTCAAGGGAACAACCCCCCTCCCTGCATAATGACACAGGGCGGAGCAATCTACCTTTAGTAACAAGAGAACACCAAAAGACAGTCCCATCAGGAGGGCTGCTGGAAACACCCCCCACCAAGCCAATACACAAACACATACATCCCATAATAGTTTGCTCCCAAGCAAGACACACAATAGAACAATGGGATGCAACCACATGGCATTAAACAATCCACAACACCCCACCCCAATATTAGGACAGATCACCCTGTACCCCTTACAGGCACAGGGTGACTTACACATAAGAGGGATATGGGGAGCTGAGACAGGGGTCTCCCCACCTCTCCAAAGTGAGCTGGGTTCCATGGGCCCCCCACCCAAAGTGACTCCCGTCACAGATAGTCATACCATGGCTTAGGTCAATGAGAACTTTCACAGACAGAGTGTCCATCACTTTTGTCTCGGTAACAATGATTACCAAGACTAATAGAGAAGGTGAATCTTTGCAGTGGGGAAACTAGAAAAATAAATCTTCTCTTCTACACTTTAATGCTGCGTTTTTTTTCCGCCATGAGCCCAAACACTTCTACAAAGAGAATTAATTTGTATATTTGCTCATATTCATCCACATTTATAGAAATGTCTGTTTAATGTCCTTAAAAGTCCAAACTAATGTGTTTTGTTTGCCATTGAATAGATAAGAGCACCCATTAATCATGAATATTTCAAGTCGCTATCAGCAGGTGGCAGGCAGTCATTACTGACCGAAATATTTAGCACAATGTTTTCACGCAGTCTGAAAGAATACTTAAATACGTTCTGACATCGCGGTTTTGTTTAGAGCTTTCAATAAACAGTGCTAACGGACTCAAATTCAGACTCGTCAACAGTTTTTATAACAAAACCAACATTAAAACCGTTTTATTACAAGTGTTGGCTAGTGACAGCAGGAAATGCTGAAATTTGGTTAACAGGCATAGGAACCATTTGGCGGGAAGATTAAGGGCCCCTTCACTCCATTGCGGTTGATACATGCATGTTAATATGTGTTGCAGTTGCATTAAAGTCCCGTTCACACAGGCAGCTGTTTTTTTTTTTGATAACCGTTTGGCAGGTGGCTTGGAAGCAGATTCCAAAAAAAAAATTAAATACTAAACCTAAAAACATTTTTTACCTTAATGCTTTGCATTCATTAAGATAAAAAAAATGTTTTTAGGTTCGGTCTGTGAAGGGGAAGAGAAGGGAGAAGAGATCAGCACCGTGCATGGCTGCATCTCTTCTCCCCTCGCTTCCTCTTCACACAAGGACTCGAACAGCAACAGGAGCCATTGGCTCCTGCTCTTGTCAATCAAGTTGTCAAGGTCCTACCTTTCCCCAGAGGTTTTGCTGCTCCATGTGCTGGCATCCATCTTAAGTTCCTGCAAAGCATGGTGGGAGCCTTTTATGCTTTCAGGCCTCTGCGGCTCCTCCTCCAGAAGGGTGCGGCTGAACACATTTAAGCCTGCTGTCTGCAGTTGCTCTTTGCATTCGTGTCCTGTATGTTCCTTTGCAGCAAGCTCTTGTTCTGTTCTCGTTGCTCTCCTGGTAACCGACTCGGCTTGGACAAGACTATTCTCTGCTTTATCCCATTACCTGACCTCCCGTTGCTGAACCCGGCCCATGACCTGAGTATTCCTGTCTACCGTCTTGTACTGTTTGCTCCGTTGTTATCGACCCGACCTGTCCGACCACACTATACGTTATCCATCTGGCTCCCACCAGCTGTACGCCATTGGCGGCAGTCGTTACTGCAGCTGGGGTTACTCGGGGGCCGCGACCTGGTCACAGGCTGCGTCAAGTCCATTCCCACCATCAGGGGCCCTGATGAAGGGCAGCCTGGAGCTTAGACTCCGCGCCCTGAGGGACTCTGGGCTGTGAGTAGCGGCTGTCATCAGTCGCTGCGTGACCTTACCGTTAGGCCTGCCTGCCCATTCCACCGCTCCTGCCCTGACACAAGTGCATTGAAGAGGAAGTAGAGGGGAGGGGCTAGGTCCCGCTGTGTTTGTCCATGGAACGCGGTCTAGAGCGAGCGTGCATCGTTTGTCCCCATAGCAAATGGCTTGCTATGGGGGGACACAAACAAGAGGAGGAGCCAGGATCACTGGCAGTGGACCCGTTGAGTGTGGAATATTAGTAGCCAGGAAATGTCACGGTTGGACTTATTGCCCAGGTGGCCACCTATCACGGGACCACGCTTGGAGTCAATGAGCTCCTGAGAGCGACCCATTCTTTCACCAATGTTTGTAGAAGCAGTCTGCATGCCTAGGGGCTTGATTGTATACACCTGTGGCCATGGAGGGGATTGGAACACCTGAATCACATGATTTGGAGGGCGAGCCCAATACTTTTGGCAATATAGTGTAGTAACGAATGTCAATGATTCAAAAAAAAAAAATTAAATACTAAACCTAAAAACATTTTTTACCTTAATGAGTTGCATTCATTAAGGTAAAAAAAAATGTTTTTAGGTTTGCTGTGTGAAGGGGAAGAGAGGGGAGAAGAGATCAGCACCGTGCATGGCTGCATCTCTTCTCCCCTCGCTTCCTCTTCACACAGGGACTCGAACAGCAACAGGAGCCATTGGCTCCTGCTCTTGTCAATCAAGTACATTGAAGAGGAAGTAGAGAGGAGGGGCTAGGTCCCGCTGTGTGTGTCCATGGAACGCGGTCAGGAGCGAGCGTGCATTGTTTGTCCCCATAGCAAACGGCTTGCTATGGGGACACACAAACAAGAGGAGGAGCCAGGATCACCAGCAGTGGACCCGTTGAGCGTGGAATATTTAGTAGCCAGGAAATGTCACGGATGGACTTTTTGCACAAGTGGCAACCTAGCATGGAACCAGGGGTGGACCAACAACTCATGGGGCCCCCAGGCAATAGGGGATCATGGGGCCCCTGTATCCTTGCCCACACTCATAGCACACCCAAAAAAAGCCTATAAAAAGGTACCAGGGGCATTTCATGGGGCCCCCTACTTACCCCCGGGCCCCAGGGCACTGCCCGAGTGTTCGAATGGTCAGTCCGCCCCTGCACGGGACCACACTTGGAGTCACTGAGCTCCTGAGAGCGACCCATTCTTTCACCAATGTTTGTAGAAGCCGTCTGCATGCCTAGGGGCTTGATTGTATACACCTGTGTCCATGGAGGGGATTGGAACACCTGAATCACATGATATGGAGGGGATTGGAACACCTGAATCACATGATATGGAGGGGATTGGAACACCTGAATCACATGATTTGGAGGGGATTGGAACACCTGAATCACATGATTGGGAGGGTGGGGACAATACTTATGGCAATATAGTGTATCTCCCAGCAGCAAGCAATAGACCCTCCAGCACATCCCATCACCCCTTGGCATTGCATACATTCAATGCTGGAGGAGTCAGAACGTCCCCCTATGTTCTCGACAAAAAAATTGCTGTAAAACATAAATCATCCCAATGCAGCTGAGGGTAAGAGGATGGTGGTGGTGGATATTATGCATATTTGTCTTCCTATGATCGATTTCTGTATCTATCTATTTTTCAGTCTTTTCATCCATCTACATTGGAGTCACTGAGCTCCTGAGAGCGACCCATTCTTTCACCAATGTTTGTAGAAGCAGTCTGTATGCCTAGGGGCTTGATTGTATACACCTGTGTCAATGGAGGGGATTGGAGCACCTGAATCACATGATTTGAAGGGGATTGGAATACCTGAATCACATGATTGGGAGGGGATTGGAACACCTGAATCACATGATTTGGAGGGGATTGGAATACCTGAATCACATGATTGGGAGGGGATTGGAACACCTGAATCACATGATATGGAGGGGATTGGAACACCTGAATCACATGATTTGGAGGGGATTGGAACACCTGAATCACATGATTTGGAGGGGATTGGAACACCTGAATCACATGATTTGGAGGGGATTGGAACACATAAATCACATGATTGGGAGGGGATTGGAATACCTGAATCACATGATATGGAGGGGATTGGAACACCTGAATCACATGATTTGGAGGGGATTGGAACACCTGAATCACATGATTTGGAGGGGATTGGAATACCTGAATCACATGATTTGGAGGGGATTGGAACACATGAATTACATGATTGGGAGGGGATTGGAATACCTGAATCACATGATTGGGAGGGGATTGGAATACCTGAATCACATGATTGGGAGGGGATTGGAATACCTGAATCACATGATTGGGAGGGGATTGGAACACCTGAATCACATGATTGGGAGGGGATTGGAACACCTGAATCACATGATTGGGAGGGGATTGGAATACCTGAATCACATGATTGGGAGGGGATTGGAACACCTGAATCACATGATTGGGAGGGGATTGGAATACCTGAATCACATGATTGGGAGGGGATTGGAACACCTGAATCACATGATTGGGAGGGTGGGGACAATACTTATGGCAATATAGTGTTTCTCCCAGCAGCAAGCAATAGACCCTCCAGCACATCCCATCACCCCTTGCCATTGCATACATTCAATGCTGGAGGTGTCAGAACGTCCCCCTATGTTCTCGACAAAAAAATCCCTGTAAAACAGCAATCATCCCAATGCAGCTGAGGGTAAGTGGATGGTGGTGGTGGCCATTATGCATATTTGTCTTCCTATGATCTATTTCTGTATCTATCTATTTTTCAGTCTTTTCATCCATCTACATTAGCGGATTATGTGGTTTTCCTCCATATTATCGCACATCCCGTATAATGTACATAGTCATCCACCTCCCAAATTAGCTAATAACAGAGTCTGCTAGCTAACTAATGACACGCTTCCTTGTGTGCTTCCATTTTCTAATCCACCTTTTTCCTCCATACCTGAAATAATATCTCTATCATTATATTGATACTATCCATATTGATGGCCCCGAGCCTCATTGCACACATTTGTTCGCACATGAGAAATGAGCCTATTTAATTTCCCGCAGATCGCCTCTCTCTCCGCTGACAATGGCCTATCCCGTATTTTTATTCACAAATATATTTTTTGCCTTTTTTTTTTTTTTCGTTCCCGGCACTTCAACGAGTTTTTGGTTATTTTCTGACCTACAGACAGAGAGATGATGCATAATGCGGGCCTTGAAAGCAAAAAAAAAAAAAGATATGGATTTATTGTGCGTTCACCCTGAATGGGAGTCAGTTCAGCTGTCAGGATTGGAGGTCGTGATAGGATCCAGAGTATTAGGGGAGGAAAAGGGGGCTTAGGATCTGGGTGAGAGATATACGGCCATGAAAGGAATGGAATAAGTATGAAGAAGAGCAGAGGTTTCCGTACGTCAAAATAAAACAGGAATCAAGTTGTAAAAAGTCCATTTTCTACAGCCAGCCAGTAAAAAGGAGTTCATGAATATTTCATTAAACACTTATCAGGGAAGGTAGCAACACGTGTATGCATCAAACGGAGGGGAAGGGGGGCGCCGGATTCGTCAGACATCTCGGAGATAATATTGGTAAAATGAAACGATCGTCTAATTTCAGCGAATATTGGTTTTGCATCATTGCAAAACTTTCTTTCTTTTCTTTTTTTTTCTTATTTGATTGCTGTGCTACATTTGATTGGGTATATTGTCAAGGGGGGGAGGGCTTGAATTGACAAACCCATGATTCTCTTTAAAGCCCATTTCTGCCCCCCCCCCCCCAGTCTTCCCACCCCTGCACCCCTGCTGCAGGTGTCTTCTGGCTGGTCCCTGGACCTTTTTGCCCTAGGCCAAGAAATGGGAAAGGAGTCTTTAAGTGGCTGTAAACCTCAGACATGAAATATGAGCAAAGTATACCCCTCTATAGTGTGTGTTTGTCTCAATCCAGAGCACGAAATGTCATTTCCGCTGGGTGTTTTATTTTTTGCTCTATAAACAAAACAAAATATATAACATTTTGCAAACAGGTACATTTTCTCCTTCACTGATGTGTGTTGATGAGGCTGCACTGATAGGCAGCACTGATAGGCAGCACTGATGGGCACTGATAGGTGGCACTGATGAGGTGGCATGGATAGGCGGCACTGATGATGGCCACTGATTGACAGCACTGCTGGGCACTGACTGACGGCACTGCTGGGCAATGATGGGTGGCACTGATGGATGGTACTCCTGGGCTGCACTGGTGGGTGGCACTGCTGGGCACAGGTGGGTGGCACTGCTGGACACTGATGGGCACAGGTGGGTGGCACTAGTGGGTGTCACTGCTGGGCACAGGTGGGTGGCACTGCTGGACACTGATGGGCACGTGGCACTGCTGGACACTGATGGGCACTGGTGGGTGGCACTGCTGGACACGGATGGGCACTAGTGGGTGGCACTGGTGGGTGGCACTGCTGGACACTGATGGGCACTGGTGGGTGGCACTGCTGGACACGGATGGGCACTGGTGGGTGGCACTGGTGGGTGGCACTGCTGGACACTGATGGGCACAGGTAGGTGGCACTGCTAGGCACTTGTGGGCAGCACTGCTTAGCACTTGTGGGCGGCACTGGTGGGTGGCATTGCTGGGCACCGATCATCAGGGCACTGATCATCAGGCTTTTTTGGGTGTTGGCGAGGACACAGGGGCCCCATGATCCCCTATTGCCCGGGGGCCCCATGAGTTGTCAGTCCGCCCCTGTACAGCTTTTTGGCGCTATATAAATATTGCATAATAATAATAATAATGATTTCGTCTGTGTTGAAAAAAAAAAAAGAGCAAAAATGTATTTTTTTGCTTGAAAAAAATGTGCAATAAAACTGCAGATGTATTTGCATAATAAAAACACATATCCATTTTCATCCACATTGGACGGGCCCTAAAGATTGCTGCCTGCCTGCATTTTAAAAGACAAAGAAAAGATGGCAGCTGTCTCACCAGCTCTCCAGGTTCCCTTTAAGTCGTCTTTTCTTTTATATTTTTGCCTTTTGAAAAAAAAAAAAATCTCTATTTCATTGCACAGAGCAAAACTAGCGGATGCATAAATATGGGTAAGGCAGGTTCATTTCGCTGCGTTCCGCATGACTGACCACCTGTATAAACGTATGTAAATTGATTAGCAAGCTGGCTTACATTTGACACAGCCAAAAGGAATATATTCTTTACATTTGCAAGAACTAAAAAGAGTATTATGGTAACGAGCGGGCAGATTAGTTAAATACAAGACCGAGCGGCGGCGGCTGCAACGTCGACGGCAATGAGCGATCTTCAAGAATACATTTTAATGTCTGTGCGGCCCGTCCCAGAACCAGAAGATGATGTTCATACCGCGGGGCTGAGCCATCCATTATAGTTCTCCACCAACGATAACTCAAAAGTATATAAAAATCTATCAATCTTGCTGCATTTTGGGGGGGAAATCCGATGACTGAAGCTAGCGCGGCAAATTAATTGACAAATGTGAAAACGGCGGCAAAAAATGTGAAGGCGAAACGCGTTGACCGTTTGTTATTCTAAACCTTAACCCTTTGGAATCAAAATTCATGTTTTAGAAGACGACGTAATATGTTATATGCAAAGGGATATGCGATGTACTCAGGGGCGGACTGACAACTCATGGGGCCCCCGGGCAATAGGGGATCATGGGGCCCCTGTGTCCTTGCCCAAACTCAAAAAAGCCTATTAAAAAGGTACCAGGGGCATCTCATGGGTCCCCTACTGACCCCCGGGCACTCGGGCAATGCTCGAGTTTCCAAATGGTCAGTCCGCCCCTGGCTGTACTATATTCCCCCCCCCCCCTTGTTGTATTTCTTGTTCTAAAAAATCCTTTTTGTGATCATTTTATGTTAATAAATTGTGATTTTTTTTTTTATGATGATAGTGTGCCTAAAAAATCCGCTAGTCTGGCCGTACATTTTTCTTTATGTTTTCAGGATGTGGCACTAGGAAGCTTGATACTATTTTGTCTCAATTGACGAATGTGCTATTTTTCTTTGTCCAACGCTTCTACAGGCTTGAACACGCCCTTTCCCAGTCACCCCTTGTCTCCGCTCCCTACCCACCTCCAAGCACCGTCCCTTGGTTCCACTCCCTTGCCCACCTCTGAGCACCGTCCCTTGGGTCCACTCCCCTGCCCACCTCCGAGCACTGTCCCTTGGTTCCACTCCCTTGCCCACCTCTGAGCACCGTCCCTTGGGTCCACTCCCCTGCCCACCTCCGAGCACTGTCCCTTGGTTCCACTCCCCTGCCCACCTCCGAGCACCGTCCCTTGGTTCCACTCCCCTGCCCACCTCCGAGCACTGTCCCTTGGTTCCACTCCCCTGCCCACCTCCGAGCACTGTCCCTTGGTTCCACTCCCCTGCCCACCTCCGAGCACCGTCCCTTGGTTCCACTCCCCTGCCCACCTCCGAGCACCGTCCCTTGGTTCCACTCCCCTGCCCACCTCCGAGCACTGTCCCTTGGTTCCACTCCCCTGCCCACCTCCAAGTACCATCCCTTGGTTCCACTACCCTGCCCACCTCCGAGCACCGTCCCGTGGTTCCACTCCCCTGCCCACCTCCGAGCACCGTCCCTTGGTTCCACTCCCCTGCCCACCTCTGAGCACCGTCCCTTGGTTCCACACCCCTGCCCACCTCCGAGCACCGTCCCTTGGTTCCACACCCCTGCCCACCTCCGAGCACCGTCCCTTGGTTCCACTCCCCTGCCCACCTCCGAGCACCGTCCCTTGGTTCCACACCCCTGCCCACCTCCCAGTACCGCCCCTTTTAGAGAATGCAGAACCAAGTATCATATTGTGGTGCTTAGTTATTTGTAAATAGAAAGGTCATCTCGCACTCACCCGTTCCCCCCCCCCCATCCCCCAAGATGTACGCATCTTGTCTTAGCAAAAATCCACTCCCCCACCCCAAAAAAAAAAAATTCAGCCCTGATCTGCATGCTCCCCCCCCCCCCCCCCCCATAAATTCCCTCTGCAAGCCAATATTTCTCCCAATCAAAAATGCAAACATTCTCACTCCTCCCAACTCAAGTCCCTCCCCCCAGTTCCCATCTTCTAGCACAGTTTCTTCCCCCCCCCCCCCAAAAAAAAAAAGAAATCATCCCTCCTAGAACAAATCCTCTCCCATCTAAATCTCCCCTTCTAGCCAGGGCTTGTTCCTCAGAAAATAGGTGCTGGAACATGCCCTTTCCCAGTCACCCCTGGTCTCTGCCCCCTACCCACCTCCGAGCACTGTCCCTTGTCTCTGCCCCCTGCCCACCTCCGAGCACCTTCCCTTGTCTCCGCCCCCTGCCCACCTCCGAGCACTGACCCTTGGTTCCACACCCCTGCCCACCTCCCAGTACCAACCCTTTTAGAGAATGCAGAACCAAGTATCATATTGTGGTGCTTAGTCATTTGTGAGGAAAAGCAGTAAAATAGATCACCTGCAACAAAAATTGGGAGGTGGGGCCTCCATGGATCGCACTTGTTTTTCTAGCACATCCCACAGATGCTCAATTGAAT